GACTCCCCTCGATTCAAGTATATATCATGTGCTTTCAGTAGTACCGGCCCAATACTACCTTCCACACCTACCCATACTTTCCTCAAGATTTATCCCGAATCCTCCAATTCACCTTCTCGAGTGGGTACTCCAAGTACTTTGCTAAACAGTGCAACCAACCCACTAAAGCACTTCCTAGGCTTTCCTAGGTTCCTGGCCTCACTCTGTCATCACCTATTTAAGAACTCCCACTAATATCAGCTAACTACTTCATGAATGCAATCACATGCAACAAAGCTTAGATAATCCTCCGAGTAAAAGACTCAACCCTACAACGGTTAGACTCAAACGAGAGCTGCGTAATAGAGCCAAATCCATCACTCTGAGATTATTTAACCCTTGAAGCATGTGACTTAACATATTCACTTAATAGTTAAATCACATCACTAAGGGTTCTACAAAGGCATCTCTCCTAACATGAAACTATGAACAGATCCTTAGCCTTAATCTAGCATGCAATTCTCATAACATATAACATATCAACATGTATGGGTATTCTAGGAATCACTTACTTAAGCTTGGTCGATTGCACGCATCACCCCCCCCCCCCATTTTAAATCTATTAGAAATTTTTTTCTTTCAAAAAATTACAAATCCCTCAGTTTAAGTTCAGTCACACCCGGGAGTGTCTTTGAATCCCTCAAACCAAGGCTCTGATACCAACTTGTAACATCCTGAAAATTATAAGGTCGAAATTTCATTTTTAATTCAACACATAAACACCATTTATTCTTATCAACCATTTAAAAGTATGTCAGAGTAAAAATAGTTATCAGAGTACAATCCCTAAATTATAAAGTGCGGAAATATGGGTGGATGCGCTGCGTTCAAGTTGGGCCCTTCCCTCTCGAACTGGAAGTACCTGAAACCATAACCATAAAACTGTAAGCACAAAGCTTAGTGAGTTCCCCAAAATACCACATACCATACATACATACATCGGGCCTGCCCAGTATAGATCTGTCAGTCATGTGTGGTGGGCCCCGCCCAAAACATTCATCAGGCCCCGCCCGAAATTCATATACAAACACATACAATACATACAAGTGTCACACAGACAGCTAGCATTCTAGTAAATATAATCTATGGGTCGGCATTGGTGCCTTCGACCCGCCAAATACTGTGAGGAGAATCAACTCAATCTAGAGATAACTGAGTAACACACGTTGCTGCTACTGGGGTCCTCGCACTGAATACAACCAAATTATCCCTAATCAATAATTAAGGCAATTTCCCATAATCCAAGATCCAATTCATATTCTATCATTCCAATGGGTAAACGACCATTTTACCCGTCCCATATCTGACCCAACAACTCATGACCCAAAACCCAAAAGACCTAAGGCCCAAAAAATGGCCCATTATGCCACCTTGGTGCATACGCCCCGCGTACCACCTCAATACGCCCATTGTATGGTGCTTAAGCCCAAACTCCATTTTTAGGTCTTATTCCTCTAAGACCAAATGACCAAATCCTCAAGTTCCAGCCTAATGGACGTATAGAGTCATAAATTTCCTGACTTTATGACCTAGCATGACTTAATAAAGCCCAACACCAAACTTAAGCTTCCTAACATAACAAAATGACCAAGGACTTACTTAAAAGTGCTTAATCCTTTAAGACTTTACATCCAAGGCTCGAATCTAATTCTAATGGGTGTCTTAATCAATAAAGTCATCAACTTGATGCCTTTGCATGGCTCCAAGAAACACAAAACCCAAATCTACCCTACTAGCTTCACCAAGAGGTCAACAACTCATGCATGGTTGGTCCACAACCATCAAGATGCAAACTTTATGAACAAGGGACCTCAAAACATCAAAATAAACAACCCAAAACCTATGGAGTAGCATTTACTCTCAAGGATCAACTCATGGGACCAAAACATGACAAATCATAATCCAAACTAGATGTACATGAGAGAACCATCAAGATTAAAACTTTATACCTCTAGAAGCTAGATCAATGTGAACAAGGCCTGGATCTACAAGCTCCAAGACAACCAACACTTCTCCAAAGAGTTCTTCTTCTTCCAAAAGCACCAAAATCCCTTAAAGGCTTAATAATCATTCAAATGAGGCTAGGGTTTCGAGGAATAGCTTAAGAGGGTGGAGGTTGAAGGTAAGGAGGGTTGGAAATGAGTTAAGGTCGTTAAATATGGTCCAAGACCCAAAATTAGGGTTTGAGTTTGGGTTGCGTATGCCCAGCATACTCCCGGTACCGCCAACGTACTAGGTTGCCCTCCGTGATCACTCTTGCCCAATACGCCCAACATACTCGGCTTAACCCAAAATTTTCATAACTTCTACTAGCCATAACTTCCGAATCCCAAATATGTTTTCGGCGTTCCTTATATGCTCGGAAAGGTAAAGAGAAGCCCTACACTCCTGTCAAGTCTCCATAGCCTTTAAAACCTTCCGAACTTAAATCTTAATTCATGAAAGGTCCGAACCATCACTTTTACCAATTTACCCTTGGACTCCAAAACACATACCGAACTCTTAGATCGCATAAGCTACATTACCCACATCCAAATGGGTCTAAACTTCTCTTTCCTCAAAGCCCGAAACCTTATGATAATTGATCTTCGGGTCACGGCCCCAAATTAAGAAACGACTCGAACAGGGTGTTACATTTTTCAACTGTTCAAAAATCATATTTTCAATAATATATAATTATTTTTTCGTTCCAGATCATTATGATGTTAAGATTCCTTGCCATCGTATCCTCTCGAAACTTGTCGACAAGTTTCCTTCGGCTATCTTAGCAAGTTTTTATTGATGTGTTCTTTTTTCTTTTTCTTTTTTTTTAAATTTAACAAATGTTAATTAATGGTAACTTATATATTTTTCAACATTTATTACAGTTCTAGATTCATTGGTGGATCCTCTACAGAAAACAGTCAACTTTAAGCCCAAACAATATGTTGAACAACAAGAAGTTGATCGCAATGAAGACATGATTCAAAGTGCCCTTATATCTGTTGAATCTTTGAATCATATCAAGTGTGTCTTTTTACTATAAATTACAAAACAAAATCTTGGTTTTCAAGTCCTGTAATACATGCTGAATGAAAGAAATAGCAATGTACTTTCATTTAATATTCTCTTTTTAAGGCCTAACACTTTAAATATTCTAAACGATCATAGCATCGTACTTCCAAATTTTTTTCTTATTAGGAAATTATAATTTCAAAATACTTAACCAGTTATAGGCAATGAGTATTTATTTATTGACTTGGGCAAGGTAAATTTTTCAAAGTACAATGTTGTGATAGGAAAAAATAAAAGTCTAGTTCTAACTAGTACCTCATTGTTGTTTTTTAGAGGAGGAGATTGTATCCATAAGTTCAAGAATCTAATGACTGAAATGGGAAAATCACAGTCGATGTGGGAGAAAATGTAAGTATTTCCTTCATTAATAAGTCTTATTTAAAAAGAAAACCAATTAGTTTTCCTGATGGATACTTATATGCTTTTCTTTTGTAATTGTTGATGTGATTTTGTGAAGCGGATCATAAAGGCAATATAAAGATCGTATATTTAATCCTTGATCTTTATTCTTTAGATGACCTATAGTTACCTTAAATAGAAACCAAAAGGAAAGATTATTGCTTTTCTTGGTTGTGTTTCTATATTCTTTTGAACATATTCCTTATACTATGTTTAGCCCGACTTGAATTCTCAACTGCTAGGACTGATTCCAGAGCTTGTTTATAACTTCAAATCCTATGTTTTATTTTAAGAGTTCTTTGAAAGTTCCAAATTGAGCAATTCTTCCTTTTAACCTATTTTCAATTTATAAGTAGTATTTGTTTGTTTTAGTTTATTTATCCAGATGTTGTCTAGCAACAGCCTTACGTAATGCGTGTCATTAAAATGTTGTTTTCTAGTAGTGTTTTATGAAAAAAAAAAAATAACAACCAACAACACTACAATGGTCCTAATTAATGACGTGTTTATACATAACATCATATAAAATAAACAAACATTTTATTTTTATAATTAAGACAACTATATACAACCAAAATGAACGAAAATTTTGGTTGCATAAAATAACAATTATAAAACAAGTTATCATAGAAAATATATTTGGTCATTTCTTTGCCAACAGAAATACCAAACATATTTTTCAAAACCAATGTTTACCAAACATAATAATAAATTTTTATAACATTTAAAAGAAGCTCTGATCCACTGATGAGTTTTGATAAGCTAAAAACAATCTTTATTTATAAAATTATTATAAGCGGCAAACGGAGACAATTTTAAAATAACATTTATTTTAAGACCAATTTAAAAAAAAAAAAAAAAAACACCAGCGATTCAATTACATGATATAGAAAATTTTAAAAAACACATAGGATATTTAGAAGACAACCTTTAAAGACTTTGATCTTGGCAATTGAAAAATTAATGAAAATAGCAAAAACTCACGATATAGTTTATCTATAATATATCCACCAATGAGTAAGTATAAGTATTAGTCACCAAAATTTCAAGTTTTCTCTTGTAAAATAGTCTTTAAGACTTATTTAATGGCTAAAAGTCCACTTTATTTTTATTTCCGATTTATCCAACTAACTTACTTTAAGAATTAATTTCTTATTAATCTTAACTTCATTTTAGACGTATAATATACCAAACCCAAGGTATTACCGAGGAAAACAAAATTATATATCCGTTATCCATTTTATGGTTCTAAATTTATGATTAAAAATGGGAATATTATTAGTGAAAATGGTTAAACCAATTTTTCCAGCAAAATATGACAAAAAAAAATATCAAATACAAGAATTCATGAATATATCATACCAGCGAAATATAGTCATTATTACAGGATTGATTCCAATGTGTATAAATAATTATAGAAATTTCGTATAATTATATATTCCAATATTAAGTATACCCAGAATTACATAGATGTAACTGTGGATAGAAACTAATTATGCTTGAACATCATAGGCAAAGTACGTCATAAAAATGGTTTTGAAGAATTCACGATACAAGAGAGATGCCAGCAACGATCAAGTCGTCTGACAAGATTTTGTTTGCTGCTTCCGATGGATGAAACCCATCCCAGAAAACATATTCTGTGGCATTTGCACACGTCCCTGGTGACTTCTCATTGCATAGAAACGACGTCTCCACCAATCCTGTCCCACAACAAGCCTTTCGTGCTTCAAAGAACCCTAAAACAGTACAAATCATTTCATTATTATACCACTACATGTATAGAGTACAGTATGCATGCATTAACGATTGTAGGCTTCAATAGGATACCATAATCGCTAGGCTTCTGCACCAGGTCATAAAGAGGTTTGTAGATATCAAGCACCACAAGATTAAGTCCCGACAGTTTGGCCTTTAATATTAGAGATGTGGCATTGAGCTTTTTATTAAAGTATTCGGCTACTGAGTTCATCTTGGTAACACATTCGTTGCTATCTTCACCAAAGATTGTAATGGATGCTGGTAAGCACCCAATTGGTGGTAATGTCGATACGCCGATCTTTCTTGCTCCTAGCTTATATAATTCCTGTCACAAGTAATCCATTGGTAATCTGTAAAATTTTACTAACAGAAAACTGAATTCAAATATATAAGTTCTTTTAACCTTGATGAAATGGGAGTAGGCATCTATAAGGATATCTGAGAATTGGTAAGGTGTGTAGACTTTGTAGAGAAGTGGGTTAACATAGTAGTTTTGAACAAAGTCGCTACTTCCAGAGCTAACAAGGTATATTGAACCTGTGATTATTGAAGTTGCATTGGACTTCCCTGCAAAATCCACCAGCTTCTTCTGGTACTCCTTGTAGTACCCAAGTTGCTTGCTCAAGGGAATCGTGTTCTGATCATATATCAAAAGAACTAAAATGATTATATTCTAAATATGCATTTATAATATCATGTAAAAAAGATATGAAGGAAATGTTTTCTTGCATATAGCTTGGCGGTTGTCTCATAATATCCTGAGCTACCGGATGCAAAGTTGGCTCCAAGTAAGAGGTTCTTCCCATTGGCTTCTTTGCTTAGTATGGGTGGGGGATATGTTGTGAATCCTAGGTTTTCACCTGTACCAAAAATATGACAATACTTTGACTATAAAAGATAGTCGATGCAAATCAACAAATGAATGATATGCAAAAAAATTCAACAAATCTAGTTTCCAAATTAAAGAGTTTTATAGAAATAGGGGAGACTCCACTACATATAAATATACTTATAGGACCATGTGTGATATAGTAAAAGAGAATTTTTACCAGTAAAATCAGACGCCAGTTTGCCGTTACAAAACCTCCCAGTGGGGTGGTGGTTTATGAAGTCTCTACCATAAGGAGGGAAGTTTGATTTGACAACGGTTTCAAGGTGATTATTGTTTCCGACATCAACAACCGAGTCTCCGAATATGAAAAGTGCTGGAACTAATGGCTGGCTATTTCCTTTCACACTCGATAAAATTAAGAAACCCATAGCTAATATGAAAATAACATCAACTTTCCAAAATGATGTTTCAATAATTGCCATTTCGCTTTTTGTTTTGGAAGAGGAAACTAGGGAGCGCAATATGTGCTAGTGTACAAGATTAAGGATGTTAGTAGGAGATAATATATAGAGGAAATGGTAATTTTGTGTCTAAAAATAAATATACTTTTTATTGACATATGGTTCAAGAAATGATTTAACTTTAGAGTTTTTTTTTTTTTGTTTTGGACTTCCGTTTATCTTCTAGAAAATTTAATTCGAATAAAAACAGAAGAATGATCTTTACATTTATCTAAAACTGATGTCGACTGAGAATTTTTGTAAATTATAGCCGTAAAAAGTTTAATTTTAATACAAATTGTATCATTAATTGATATGTTAATACAAATAAAAACAGAAGAATGATCTTTACATTTATCTGGTTTTAAAAACCGGTTTGAACCGGCCGGTCGAACCGGTTGGACCAGGAGTCGGGGGATGAAGCGGTTCAATTATCACCGGTTTTACGTCGATTTCTGAACCAGATTGAACCAGCCGTTTTTTAGAAAAACTCGGTTGAATCAGTCAAAATAAACCGGTTGAACAGGTTAAACCGAATAAAAACACATAAAAAGAGTCATTTACATAATAAATTTTGATCATTATTTTTCAAATCTATTTAGTTTTATCTAAATAAATTTATATAGTAAATAGTTTTTTGATGTGTTTGTATTCATCTAAAAGACTAAAACTATATTTTGTTTCGATGTTATATTTTATTTTCTTTTTAACGTATATGGATTGATGTAAAAACACTAAAACTTATGGTTATGTATTATTTTACTGTATTTGGATTCATATACAACTTATTTTTATGTGTATTTTTAATGTTTGAACTTGTAAACATCAAATTCATGATTTATATATGTATGTGTAGGGAAATAGGAAAAAACATGAAAAATATAAAAACCGGTTGACCCGACGGTCGAACTGATTAAACTGGATGAACCGGAAATCGGTCAACTTACCGGTTCAACTAAAAAACCGGTTTTTAAAACATTGAACCAGCCGGTTGGACCGGGAACCGGGGGAGGGAGCGGTTCAACTATCATCGGTTTTACATTGATTTCTGAACCGGATTGAACCAGCCGGTTTTTAGAAAAAACCGGTTGAACCGGTCAAAATAAACCTGTTGAACCGATTAAATCGAATAAAAACACATGAAAAAGAACAATTTATATAATAAACTTTGGTGATTTTTTTCATGTCTATTTAGTTCTTCTCTAAATAAAAACATATGATAAATGTTATAAAGTTTTTTGATGTGTTTGTATTCATTTAAAACTATATTTCGTTACGGTATCATACTTTATTTTCTTTTTGACGTATATGGATTGATGTAAAACATTAAAACTTATGGTTATGTGTTATTTTAATATATTTGGATTCATCTACAACTTATTCTTATTTGTATTTTTAATGTTTGAATTTGTAAACATCAAATTCATGATTTATATATGTATGTATGTGTAAGAAAATAAGAAAAAACATGAAAACTATAGAAACCGGTTGACCCGGCGGTCGAACCGGGAACCGGTCACCATACCGGTTCAACTAAAAAACTGGTTTTTAAAACATTGATGTTAATATATCATATTTTACATCTTCAGTTGCATTTAATTTCGTGTATTATTACTATCAAAAATTAGAAATTATCAATAACAATTTAATTATTTGTGGTTCGAATTAATTTCCTTTCGAACGCGATTATTCTACATTATGTCATTATCATACTTATATTATAATATTATTTTCTAACTTCTGGTGGTGGAAATATTTAATGTAATATGTTGGTTATTCCAAATTTTAATACTTTAATTATAGTTATAAAAACTGAAGTGGTTAGAAACCAAATATACACCTCAAAATATTACTTGTTAGTTGTGAATGAGAGAGTGATGCACAAGTTTTTATCAATAGAGGACTTGCTTTAAGCTATGCCACGTTATCTATTTATTTTACTCCAAAATTATTAATGTAGTTCCAACCTCCCGATAGTGTTTTGATTCTATGTGATTTTGAGCTGTCGACAACTTTCTACCACTTCGTATTTACCAAATAATTTTAGAAAACGACCGGTCAACATTGTGGTAGTATATGTATTGATACTATATAATAAAAAATTCTTAATATTAATGATGCATGAAAAGAAAAGATGTTGTAAATTTGATTTTTGGTCTTTTGATCGAATAAGGTTTTAATACTAACTATTTGGATTTAAATTTTAAATGTTGATTAACATATTGGTTTTCAGGCACTATAAAAAAAATTCCAGTTCAGAATATTTGTGTTTGAAACAGCTTAGCCATAGAAAAAATTAAGTCCCTTCTTTTATGTTGGCTAGTTTTTAGTGACGGAATCTTCCAACTTAGCGATGGAATCGATCGCTGCTAATCCGACCGCTCTTTACTTTCCATTGAAACAAAAGTTTAAAAAACCAAAAAAGACTGATTTTTACGGACTAGCGACAAACTTTGGCAACGGATGCGCGTCGCATTACCACCGTTTGCATAGTTGTCCCTAGTTTATAATTTATTTATTTTTTGCTTATAAATTTCCAGAAAATTCACATATTTCTGATTAGTAGAAAAATCTAAATATATCAAAATATGTATTTTGATATCAATCAAATGAAAAAAAAAAGACATCTATTTTCATTTAAAAGTTTTTCTACAATTCAGTTTACGGTCTGATGATTCCATCATTATCAGATGTACTAGATGTTGTCAATACCTGATTTATAAGATTTAATCATTTGTTTTAATATCAATTGTTTGTCCGTGTGTTATTATATTAAATATATATGAGACCAACAAAGTTATCTCATCGCAACAATATAATTAGTTTAAAATATAGCAGATTATTCACTATTAACCTATTGGAAGGACCTCTTACTTGTACCATAGGCAACTATATGTTGGTTTTATTATAGTTAAGTAGATGTTTTAAACAATAATGTCGTAATAAAAGTAATTTAAAAAACATACCATTATGCAGTGGTGGAGCGAGAACAAAATGTCATGGGAGCACAAATTTTGAGGATAGCACACCGAAAAAATTCCACTACAAGAAAAATATTTACAAAAAATTTTCATTGCCCCTGAAAATTTAAAAGGTATCACGGTCTATCCCGGACACCTATATAAATCCTCCCTGAGAAAAACTACCAATACAAATGTATAAAAAATACATTTATATCTCATACAATTAACACTTATATATAATTAATAATGGTGGGAATTTTTATATGTAAAGTATTAACAAAGCATGTGCACTTGATAATTGGACATGACATTCCACGTGAACCACTATTGCGTATTCCTTTCTTTTCTACTTCTTATATTTAAGATCCATATTCTCATTCCAAGTCGAATAATTGAGTAAAATAAGCTCTCTGTATGTCAACAAGTACCTTCGTCTGTTGTGAAATTTTAGTATAAGTAAAATACGCAAAATATAAATCATAATAGGATTAATTTAATTATACATAAAAGTGCAATTCTAATTTATGAAAACAAATATGTAAGAGAAATAGTCTTTTACATGTTTCTACAACCACACATGCATGAAAACTAATATGTAAGAAATGGAAGCAAATTTGAAAGGTTGAAATTTCAGATCTAACGACAAACCGGTGCGGAATAATGAATCGATAGTCGATGAGAATGGTAACAACAAGATATGATTTTTCAATGTTTTCTTCTATCAAAGGTTTGTGTTATCGAGTTCCTACAAGGTGTTCTAAGAACTAAAATATAGCATAATAACTAACTTTGTACATAGAAGTAACGCTACCTATCTAAACTAAACAGAAGTTAACAACAGTACATAAAATGATCATATTTGTTGATGTTCATATTTGTTTATCATATTACATCAAAAAAAAATTAAGTAAAAACAGTCCAACACTTGTACATTTTCCTCAAAACTTCTCATTGTTCAACCAATATGCAAATGCACTTTTCTGGACTTAACATGCTCTCCTTAAGTGAACTTTGCTTTGAATAAATGTAACACCCCTACTTAGGACCTATTTGAAATTCCTTTTCAGAAAATTTTAAGTTTTAAAAATTCAAATTAAATTCAGAGTTTAGTTTGCGGAAATCGAAACGGTCCCAAAACATAACATTTTAAAAAGTAAATTTAGGTAACAAGGTTGTTAACAATTATAATATCAACAACAATCGTTCAAACTCACCACACAAACCGTTGTCTTCTAAAAATTCAAGCTAAGTCTTCTACGACACGATTCAATTTTTCTTCCTGAGCATATGTCAAAACAAGTTAAGCAATTGATTTGCCAAGTGAAAATACATGACGTGGATTTATTTTGAGTGAGGATATTGCAATCTCACTTACTCGAATCGCCCTCTGAAAAATCAAGTCTTGTTTTGAAATTTTTTTCGAAAATATAGAGGTTTTATTTCCAAATCTTAACAAACGTCATTTCAACATATTAGACCCCAAAATTAAGGAATCAAAGTTTAATCAATGAAAAATGTCATATTAGCCCAACGAACTTGTCACATTTGTTTTAAAATGTCATCCAATATTTTTTTTTTACTTTAAGGGAATGAACTCCCAATTTACCATTTAATTCAATCATTTTATCAATTGTAATAGGTTTCAAGGTTATTTCAGTGAGTTGGCAGCCAAAGTGGAAGTTGAATCGGCTTCCACGGTTCCACCCTTGGTCCCCAAGGTTGTCAACTAAGCCCACATCTCTCTCTCTCTCCTCCCCAAAACCTAAAGCATCGGTCGCAGACCCTCCTTCCATCTTCGTCTCCATCGCAACAAGCATCTTCTTCTCCATCGTATACCATATAACTAGGGGTGTGCATCAAACAGCACAACCCGCATAAACCGCCCACACCGCACCAAACCGCACCACATAATGCGGTTTAGATCTTTTGTGGTGCGGTTTGCGGCTCGTAATTTCGATAAACCGCACTATACGGTGCGGTTTGCGGTTTTCAGTTTCAAAACTACGGTTCAAACCGCACCGCACCGCATATATATATATATATATATATATATATATATATATATATATATATATATATATATATATAACAGTTCGATTTTATCAATA